ACTGAGAGCTTATGCACCAAAGACAAATTCCTTGTGTGTCCAATCACACTTGGCCAATAAATCATTCTATTCTATTCTATTCTATTCTATTCTATTCTATTCTATTCTATTCTATTCTATTCTATTCTAAAACAAACCCCATGTTCGAAAAATACTCTGTATCTTTGTCAGTGCCGTTGTAACTTCACACAGTCACTAAACGAACTGCACTATTGGATTCTGGGGTACAGACCTGACGTTTGATGGGCTGGAACTTATGCTGGTTCACAAAGGACTCCATCTCAGAGAGCTCAAGGGTCAGGAACCTATGGAGAAGAGAAAAGATGGTGAGAGAAATATATGTGGTCCTCCATTTACAACAGTTCGTTTAGTGACCACTCGAAGCTACGACAGTGCTGATGAAAGTGACTTGCGATTGGGTTATTTTTTTCCACACTTACGACCGTAGTAGCATCCCTTTGATCAAAATTGGGACACTGGGCAACTGGTTCATATTTACGACGGTCGCAGTGCCCTGGGGGGGTCACGTGATACCCTTTAAGAGACTTTCAAAGTCAACAGGGAAGCTGGATTCACTTAACAATCGCGTTACCAACTTAACAATGGCAGCGATTCACTTAACAACAGTGGCAAGGAAGGTGGTAAAAGTGGAGCAACATTCATGCGACCAACGGTCTTGCTTAGCAAGAGACGTTTGGGGCGCAGTCCCGGTTGAAAGTCGAGGACTACCGATATAGATTCTCAGTCAAGAACTACCACAAAAAAAGAGAGAACATTTCCCACAACCGGTGGGATGTCCCACGCAAGCCAACCCCTCCAATGTGAGACGCTCACCTCAAAGACTGCACCGAGAGGGGCATTTCGGCATTTTCTCTGGGAAGGAAGAAGAGAAGACACACATCAGAATGAGCTACGGGTACAGCAAAGAGCCAAGAGGATTTCCAGCTCAGATTCAACCTGAACCTGGACGCCTCTAGAAGTTGTGAATGCTCCAACATCGGATGTTTTTAAGAAGAGACCCTTCCAACCTTGTTATTCCTTCCTCCCTCTCTCCCTCCCAGAAAAGAAGGTTTTAAAGCTGTTTTTTTTTTAAATGGCTCAGAACAACAACAATTCACCCTTTGTGGGGTCGAGATTCTCTTACCTGATGGCTTCCAGCATCTCTTTCATTGACAGAAGATCAACCTTGTCCTGTGCAGAGAGAGAGAGAGAGAAAAGGACCCCCAGGATTAGGGGTTATTTAAGTCTCTTTTTTTGGATAAAGAAATAATCTGAACTGAATTGGATACAAGTGTGTGATTAGACACACAAGGAATTTGTCTCTGGTGCAGAAGTACTCAGTGTACATGCAAAGAAACAGGAGCACAACGAGGAGGAGTCGTCAAGGTAGAGAACATAACTAGCACACCTACTTTCCTTCTATTTTCCCCACAACAGCAACCCTGTGAGGTGGGTTGGGCTGGCAAAGAGTGTCAGGCTCAGCTGGCTTTCATTCCTAAGGCAGGACTAGAACTCCCCATCACCTGGTGATTGGCCCAAAGTCACCCAGCTGGCTTTCACACCTAAGGCAAGACTAGAACTCGCCATCACCTGGTGATTGGCCCAAAGTCACCCAGCTGGCTTTCACACCTAAGGCAAGACTAGAACACACATTTCCTAGTAACTGGCACAAACTCGCCCAGCCAGCTTTCATTCCTAAGGCAGGACTAGAACTCACCATTCCCCAGTAACTGGCCCAAAGTCACCTTTCATGGCTAAGGCAGGACTAGAACTGACACCAGACCAAGCTGGCTCACTCATGGATCAAGAGATGCCAGCACATAAGTGATCAACAGACACTTTTAAGAAGGAGAAAAAAGATACCCCTACCTCCCCAAAGAGCAGGACCATGAGATTCAACACTTGGCATCTTTGTGCCACTCAAATGCTCTCATTTAAAACCTGTTCCTTCCCTCTCCTCACCTCCTTTGCCTGGTCCCAGACCACTTTCTCCATTGGGTTGGGCTCCATCAGTGGCAGAGTAAATTTGAAGTAGGGACGCAGATTCTTGTAGACGTAGATATACGGCCCAGAAGCCACAGCCAGGGCTGGCATGCAGGGCTCGTGTAGCTCCATCAGAAAGGAAACCACGCTTGTGGGTAAATCCGGCAGGGTGTTTTCACTCAAAAGGGTGGTACCCTGGTAGACCTTTAGTTTCATCTCATGGCCCGTCGAGCCAAAATTGCCCACCACTAGCTGCAGGTAAGAGAGATAACATGATTGACTTGTTTAAATCATCACCAAGTGGATACAGATAGTCCTCCACTTATGACCGGGTGCTTAATGACTGTTTAAAGTTATGATGGACCCCCCCAAAAAGTGCAGGTAGTCCTTGATTTTGAACCGTTTAGCACTAAAAATGGCTGCGGATTTATATCCGGGGTTGAAATGAGGAAAGTTGGCTAGGCATTTTTTCTCTCTGGTAGGGGCATTTTCTTTACCTTGTGGTCTCCATCCCCATGTAGGTCAGCCAGAGCTGGAAGAAAATAAACAGTCAATGGGAGGACAATTTTATTATCAAAGCCTACCAAGAACTGACAGAGGGAATCTTGGAATATGTTCTAGACCTGAGGGTTGAATTATGCAGCCTTGGTGCTCTCTGAGGTTAGTTCTTTCCTTGCGGATATTTTATTACCGAAGTAGGTAACATCATCAGCACAAGTGAGTGTGGGGTTCTAATCCCTATCTTTTTTCTTTTGCTTTGTTTTCCGTTCTAATCTATTATTTCTATTCTGTTTCCCATTCTATTCTATGTTCCATTCCATTATCCCACCCTTTCTGAATTTTTAAAACTCAAGGGAGCAAGCATGTTTAATACTTTTTCCTTTTCCTATTTTCTCCACAACAACCCTGTGAGATTGATTGGGCTATGAGACAGAGTGAGTTTTAAAAATCACGGTCTCCTGGTTTCTAAGCCAGGACCTTCATTGTGAGACTAAAAACAGCGCGCACTGCCAGTTTAGACACATGGAATCATAGGGCTACAAGGGACCACGGAGATCATTTAGTCCAATCCCTTATTCAAGCAGGAGATTCTCTATACCATTCCGGACAGTCCAGTCTCTTCTTGAAAACCTCCAATGTTGGAGCACCCACAACTTCTACCACCCCTCCCCAAAAAGGAGGAAAGAGGAGGGGGAAAAAGGAGCTCAGACTTACTGACACATGAGGAAAAGGTGTGCAAATTGGCTACTGGATCATAGTAGGCATCCAGCCATTTGGAACTGGTGCGAACACTGTTGGCAACCACAGGAAATAAAGTTGAAAAGTTGAAAAGAATATGGCAAATTAACACGGCAAATCAGCGTTTCACAACCTTGGTAGCTTGTAGATGGGTGGACTTCATTTCCCAGAATTCCCCAGCCAGCGTGCTTTAAGATAGGAAGACTTCAATTGCTACATGGGGGATTCTGGGAGTTGAAGTCCATCCATCTTAAAATATGCAGGCTGGGAGTTGGTCCACCGATCTTCAAATTGCCAAAGGTTGAAAAAGGTAGTTTCAATCCAGAGCTAAATTCCCAAATATTCTCCTTTCCATGCGCTCCCCCTTCCATATAAATTGATCCCTCCCCCTAAAAGGTGACCCAGGAGGAGGAATGAAGGAGAAATCGCTCCTTTTTTCGTCCCCCACACTTTCCCGCCCTGAAAGGCTGTGGTCGCTATATTTCTGGCTAGATGCCGTTGCTTCCAGGGTGTTTGTTTACCCGTCGCCGGCACCTCCTGAAGACGCCGCCATCGCCATGGCCCTGCAAGTCCTCCCAGCAAGGCCGCAAAGCCCGTTGCTATGGTAACCCCACGGTGGGCAATAGGTGTACTGCAAAAAAGAGTCCCTGCCTGCGAAGCCCGTTATCTTGGAAACCCCACGGCGGGAAATGGGTGCAACGCGAAAATGAGTCCCTCTCGGCGCGCTCATAAACTTCCAAAAGTTAGAGTGACCCACGCCAGCAAGCTTCCGAGACCGACTTCAAATTTTCCTTTCGTCTTCTCTGCCAGCTATTGAAATAAGGGATATTATGAATTTAGTCCACAGTGGAGAGATTATTTATTCTGATTGTTTTGGGTTTGGGATAGCCCAACATTTATTGGGGGGTGGTATGGTGATTCACACACAGGGTCAGTCCTGGGATTCACAGCTTAGCAAGGGGTTAGCCCCTTAAAAATAAAGGTTTGCAAGTAATTAGTTGCATTTCCAGCCTTTTTTCTCAATTTGCACAATTCTCGGGGGACCCACAAAACCAGCCACACAGAGAATGAAGTCAATAGAAACATGCTGTGTTTGGTGCATATGCTACATATCTCCTTCGGGGAATCCATCTGCTCATCTTTATGGCAAATTCTTCAACAATGGAATAATAATAAAAAGGGGGCTTCTGTCCATGCACAGAGTGCCTTTTTTCCTCCTCCTGGTAGAGCTCTGATTTCTCCAGCTGAGCTCCTTTGAGATATGGGAACAACTTGACTCCCATTTCTTTCTCATCCTGGGTAACAAATATTGGTAGTCGGCTTACAACCAGAACTGAGCCCCAAAATTTATGTTGCTAAGTGAGACAGTTAAATGAACCTCTCATTTTAAAACTTGTCCTGCCACTGTTGTTAATTGAATCACTATAGTTGGGAAATTAGTCACCCAGTTGTTAAATGAATTTGGGTTCCCTATTGATTTCGCTTGTCAGGTCACAAAAAGGAATCAACAGGACTATGGGACAGTTATGAGTCCCTTGCCAAGAGACTATTTTGATCACATGACTCTGGGGATGTTGCAAAAGTCTGAAAATGAGTCATAAATTACTTTTTTCAGTGCTGTTGTAACTTGAGTCACTTAATGGACTGTTGTTGAGAGCTACCTGTATCGACCCTGGTTGGGAATTAGGTGTGTTGTAGTCCCAGCACAGCAAGCAGGGACTTGGATGGGTCTGTTGTTTCAATGCAAGGGCATCTTCAATGCCTGATTGGTAATCAACTCTGCAACAGTGAGCCCTTTTATTTTTCAAATCCAACAGCTCATATTCACATATTTGTATAAACACACCCCGTGGCATAAAATCATAATTTGCTCTCTCAAACCACAGGATGGGAACCAAGACTTGCTAATAAGCCAGCTCTGACAACTGGCTGAGTTCACACTTAATCATAAACCACAAAGCCATCAAGCCATGGTTTATAAACAGTAAACTGCTAGGCTCACACAACATCCTAAGCCAGAATTAAATCCAATGGCATTACTGCTTAAAGCAGTATTTATCTTAGCAACTTTAAGATGTCTGGACTTCAAGTCCCACAATTCCCCAGGCAGCCTGGGGGAATCCTGGGAGCTGAAGTCCAGGCGGGTTAAAGTTGGAGAAACAATAAGCTAGGGAGATGAGTAAACTGACCAACATTGTGGGTTAAGTAATAGCTATCTTTTCCCCCCTCAATCTAATATTTCTGACCTTGAAGAATTTTCTTCCCAGCTTGAGTTTCAAATGAGTTCTCCCCACCAATAGCCACCAGTCTAGGAACCAAGATTTATTATTTCCAAATATTATCCAGTGTGCTCAAATTGTGTAACAGTCAGATTGGATGCCTACCCCACAACCCCATCCCAAAGAGAAGGTGAGAAAAATCACCCAGATGAGTCCAAGAGAAAAGAAACACACCCAAAACAGAGAGGCCGGGCCGTTTTTCAAACCAATCTGTTGCCCCGAAAGAGATCCGGTCCAATTTCTGTGTTGACCCCCCATCAGTGGGCCAGTGAGGGGATAAAAGTGGTTTGTCCTGAGATCTTGGCACAATCAGGTAAGGAGACCAGGGATCCTGGATTGGGTCTCCGTCACTCGATGAGTTTTTTGGCCTTGAAAAACCGTCGTAGGTAGAACACCTGCCACGATGCTAAGCTGACCAGGCACAGCATGGAGAAAATGCTAAAGTAGAAAACTCGAGTGCTGGTGGATTCTGCAAAAAGAAAGCAGAGGAAGGATCAACAACATAGTGATGGCAGTTATTAAGACCATGGTGACTTTAAGACTTGTGGACTTCAATTCCCAGAATTCCCTAGCCAACATGACGGGATGGGAATTGTGGCCCGCCAGTGGCCAGCAGAGCTGGTGGCAGACTCGGACAGTGAGGCAGTTGAGGTGGAACATGGGCCAGTCCTGGAGTCTGGGGAAGGCTCTGATGAGGGCTCTTTGTCTGAGGCAGAGATGGCGCCAGAGATGTCTGACAGTTATCAGCTGCCTTCGGACACAGAGATCAGTGAGGCAGAAGGACAGCTGGAGCCTGTTCCCAGTGTGACTATGTGCAGAGCTGCCAGAAGAAGGGAATAGTTAAGGAATAAGGGTTGACTTGGGAGTAAGGGCACCGGTGGACAGTGAATGGCCTCTACCATAGGAATAAAAGGAGCAAGGAGAGTGGTGTTGGCAGGAGACAATTACTTCAATTCATTAGGGTGAAGATCTGTTCCTGACTTCTTGACAAATAATTGCTGCTACAGCGTAGCGTTTGGAAGATATCGGCATGGTAACTCTCCAACCCTGATAAAGGTCTTTAACCTAAATAAAAGGGGTTTTATCGGGATGAGGAGTCGGCTTCATGATCTTGGGAAGTCTAAGAGAAGAACACTGAGGAATTCCGGGAGTTGAAGTCCACAAGTATTAAAAGTGGCCGACTTTGGGGACTAAACATGGCTGGCTGAGGAATTATGAGAGTTGATGTCCGCAAGTCTTAAACTGGCCAAGTTTGGGGCCCCCTGACCAAGATCACCCCCCAACTTCTGGTCCTGAATGCAGCAAACTAGATTCTCACATTATTCCAAATCATCATTGGCTTCACCAGTTTCTTTGCAAATCCTTCACTAGGAAACTCACCCAAAATACTAAATTTGACTATAGAGATAGTCCTTGGACTACGAACTTCTGTTGCTAAGTAATGGGATTGTTAAGTGAGTTAAACCAATTCATCTCTCTTGTCAACTCAGTAGTTCTCAAGTTTGGAAGCTGGAAGATATGTAGACTTCAAACTCCCAGAATTCCCCAGACAGAATACTTTAATGTGGGTGGGCTTCAATTCCCAGAATTCCCCAGCCAGCACGCTTAAGATGGATGGATTTCAACTCTCAGAATTTGCCAGCCAGCATGCTTCAGATGAATAGACCTAAACTCCCAGAATTCCCTAGCCAAGACTGAGAAACTCTGATCTAGCCTGCTTGTACAACTGGTTGATGGCTCATATTGACAATGACTGAAGTCTAGTTGGAATCTCCTTGTTTGTTAACTCCAAATTGTCAATCTAAGTCAATACTTTGCTGGTTGGGGGATTCTGGGAGTTGAAATGTGCACATCTTCAAGCGGCCAAAATTGAGAATCTCTAATCTAGACCTTGTTAGAAGAACTGGCATATTGACATCATAGCTTGAATCTCCTTATGTCAACTCGTAAAACATTCCTATGCCTGTTTTCAAGTTGCCATAAACAAGGGGGAGTGGGAATCAGCAGTAAAACCAGAAGTACATTCCACCATTATCTTAAAAAGATTGTAGCTAGGCGACTGGATCTTCTGGCCGGGAAAATCCTTTATTGGAGAATGTGATTGATGACACCCAGCCTATGTGCTTCATTGGAGAATCTGATTTATGATACACCCAGGGGGGAGAAGGGAAACAGGGCCATAAGTGACTGTGAATTACGTATGCCAGAGTTGGCTTCATTTAGGTTAATAGCAATAGGACTTAGACTTATATATGCTTTATAGTGCTTTACAGCCCTAAGTGGTTTAATGCCAGCATGTTGCTCCTAATAAATATTTTGAGGGTTTTTTTTGAAGTTTGGCTCGAGGTTCATGCTTTAATTAGGGCTATCGCTGGAACCCTAACACCTTGCTTGTTAACCTCAAAATCAAAGTCCATGCTGGCTGGGGGATTCTGGGAATTGAAGTCCACACAGTGGCTAAGGCTAAGGAACACTGAGTTTTGGCTTCCCTGGGAGTTCAGAAGAACTAGAGAAGGTTGGAAGCAAGGGGAAGCTGATCCAGAAGATGGAACATTCTGACATGGGGGTCAGCTGTCCAGAAAAGCAGGGGTAAACCCCCCTCCCCCCAATTAGAAAGCCCGGCCTCACCATTGGTATCGCGCATCTCCTCTTCCCGTTTTTTCATGAAGGCAAAATCCTTGACAATGGATTCGGAAAGGTCCTCCAGGCGACGGAGGTCGATCTCCAACGGTTTCAACTTCTCCGCTTTTGCGACCTGGCAGAAGAGTTGGAAAAGAACCATAGAGCTTGGCGGGGAAGAGGGCCGAGTGACCTCACGTCTGCAGTGACATCATCAGGCTTGTGATGTCATCCTGATCCCTCCCAGGTGCCAACAGGGAGAAGTGAAAAGTTAAGTACCGCCACCATGAGTGGTTGTCGTCCTAATCAAGTTATTAGTCCACAAAGAATATTTCCATAATGTGTTTTTTTTCCATAAATGAGCTTATCCAGCTTATCGAGTTACGTCCAATAATTGGGAATCAGAATTTCATTTGCCAAGCAAAGTGATTAAGGAAGTCCTGCCCAATTTCATGACATTTTTCACCATGGTTGTTAATCGAATCCTTGCAGTTGTTAAGTGAACTTTGTGGGTCATAAGCAAATCTGTTTCCCCCTATTGGCTTTTGTTTGTTAGATTATTTTATAGTGGGCTGCACCATAAACTAGGTTTTCCGCTTTGCAAACCTAGAAAATGAGTTAACTGAGCAACCATGTTAAATCTGTGTTTTGAAAGCAGCCTCTGAACCCGCCACAGCATGATCTGAACTTAAGAATATTCACAGCTACAAAAATTTGACTTACATTTTCATAATTCATGGCTTCTACCCCATGTTTAACATTGAGGGTGATCAGTTGGTCCGGCAGCCGAAAGTTCCCTGAAAAAAAAAAAGGAAAGGTTTGTGTATAGGATGAAAAACACAAGGAGAAAAATCCAGTTAGCTAAAGGCAAGGTTGATCCCGCACCCGTCTAACCCAAGATTCCATTCTATTTGAAATGGCTGGGTTCCCACGGCGTACTAAGTCGCCAATCATGGTTTACAAATTGTAATATGTGATTTTACTAAACATAACAAAGCCAAGCTAAGAAAGCCTACAGCAGCTTTGTATGTTCTTATTAATTATATTAATAGCAATATAAGGACTCAATAAGTGGATTAAAAAGGCCAGATCCAATCTGGCTGACTGTGCCATGAACCATAGATTATAATAATAAAGTATGTTCTTAATATTCTTAATATTTTCTATGTTCTAGTGTATTAAGTGAGGTTAGCTAAATGCAATAACGGTAATAATAAATTAATAAACATAAAGAAAAAAGCTGGACAAAATCCCAAAATACAAAACTTGTATCTAGAACAGGTCTCCAACTTTGTTAACTTTAAGACTTGTGGACTTCAACTCCCAGAATTCTCCAGCCAAGTTGGCTGGAGAATTCTGGGAGTTGAAGTCCACAAGTCTTAAAGTTGGCCAAGTTTGGAGACCCTGGTTTAGTGCAAATGTGGCTAAAGAAAGCAAAGATAGAATCAAGAGTGATAGGTGCCGTGGCTGCAATCCAAAACATCTGGAGCACACTTGAACACCACTGGCATTGACAAAATCCCCATCAGTCAATTGCAAAAGGCAGTTTGAGTTGGCACAGCTGACATTTTGTGAGTGTGGCCAGACCTTTAATATTATTCAACAACAAACATCAAAAGGTCCTAGGGAAAGATTTGATACATGGATGAAAAATGCCCTTAAGTTTAAGCATCTGGCTGACTGTATGACAAACCATAACAACAGTAATAAAAATGGGGTTCAGATTTCTCTGAAACTTCTTTCAGTCCTGAAGCAAAATAAGAAACCTCCAAAAATAAATCTAAAGTTAAAGTGCTTTTGGTCAACATGAGCGAAGATATTTTAAATGATCTAAGTAAATTTAGTAACTAGTGTGGCAAACCCCGTTAAACCACGTCAGTTAAATATTTCTTCCATTTTTGCCTTTGTGCAACATGTTACAGTAATTTGACTTTTTAATCCTAGCTTTGGGGTGATTTATGGGGCTGCAAGATTTCGTGTTTGCTTTAACTGACCGTTTAAAAAAAATTCACACAAATTTGGGGAAAACTCACAACGAAGTAATTAAAAGTTTGTGCTTGGGAGTCAAAAGCAACATATAACCTACTGTACCTCTCTCTCTTCCCAAAAGACCCATTGCCCAGTTGCAGGAAGGCCCTTGATGGGGACGATGGGACCTGTAGTCAGGCAGGTGGATGCCCCACACCCTGAGCCTTACCTGGCTGTCCGTGACTCTGAAAGCAAATCTCGTAGACTTCGTAATCCTCGGTGGTGAAAGCGAATTTCCCCTTCTTGGCTTCCTCTTTGGAGTAGAGCAGGTGTCCGGCTGAGTCGGTCACCTGCCGGCAGAACAAGAGAACCCATGAGCATACACAGAGTGCAAAACCAAGTCAGCTCCAGTTTGCAGAGCGCAGAGTGCATTAAGGGTTGGAGAGGAGGAGGAGGAGGAAGGGGATGCCTCTTACCTTTAAGTCTGTTCGGATGCCCGGTGCAGGAGCTTCGGACACTTCATATTCTCCGGTGACCATTACATCCCGGTGCAACTCCTCTTTCAAGCACTTGCGGCTCAGCGGGGGCAGGTGGAAGGAGAGCCCACGGCAGCGGCCGGCAGACAGGGCCAGCAGCACGGCCCAAGGACCCAGCAGGGCAGGCAGCCACATGGGAACGGTGCAAGAGGGAGACCCTCGCCTTCCCCGGGGCTGATTTGGGGAGAGGGTGTCCAAACGACCCCGGTGCTGATCTTGGGGGGGGGGGTTGAGGTTCTTCCAACGACCCCGGCCCTTCGGGGCTCAGATCACACCCAGGACCGTTGGACCGTTGGGTTGGAACGTTCACACGACCCTCTTTTCCCGCGATCGCGCTCTGCACGAGTGCAAACACCTCACCGACCTCCAACTATTCTCCGCTTCCCCAGGCGCGAGCTCCCGGGATTGTCCGAGCGCGCATGCGCCCCTCACTTCTCTCGCCGCGCCCCCTCGGGCTGCGTCTACGCGCGACGTGGCGCGACCTCCAGCTTCGTTCCGGGTAGGGGCGGGGCCCGAACGAAGGACCGCCCCCTCACGAAACCCGGTCGAAAGGGGCCTGTGGGAAAGGGCGGGTTCGCCATCCGTGTCCATCCCAGTGGAGTGCGCCCGGGATTTGGGGAAGGGAGGGCGGGGATGCGGGGAAAGGAGGGTGCCGAGGCAGAGGAGGGGCGGTTTGACACCCGGGGCGTTCTTTCCCAAGCTGGGGAAGTTTCAGAAGTGTGGACTTCAATTCCCAGAGTTCCTCAGTCGGCCGACGCGCAAGGATTCTGGGAGTTGAAGTAAATTCACAGGATTCGTTTTCCTTGCCATGTACACGTATATTCGGACTAGAGTGTGTTTATGTGCATAATTTTGTATTTATTTTGTCATGTTTTTGTAGTGTAAATTGAAGGTGGTGATCCTTTGAGAACTTTATACAACGAAATTTCATTTTAATGTATGCCAATTGGTGTACAAAGTGACAATAATGTATTCTATTCTAATTCTATTCTCTATTCTACTCTTATTTCTATTTTCTATTCTATTCTGTTCTTCTATTATTATTCTTATAATAATATTAATTATATATTAATTATAATTCTTATAATAAACTATCATTCTCATCCTATTACCAGCTCTTCCCATTTATAACTATAACCATGTTGCTTGTATCTTTACAATTTATATTGTTTTGTTTTCCTAGTAGGTTTTGATTGCGTATTAGTAACCTATGGATGATTTGGTTGCTTATAGTAACCTATCACTAACTGTTGTATCTTATAATTACAATTACAATTCTTATAATGCATTTTTATTTTTTCTTATCTACACTGAGAGCTTAACCACCAGAGACAAATTCCTCGTGTGTCCAACCAAACTTGGCCAATAAAGAATTCTATTCTAATTCTATTCTCTGTTCTATTCTAATTCTGATTTTATTCTATTCTATTCTGGGAGTTGAAGTCCACCTGTCTTAAAGTTGCCAAGATTGTGAAACAAACCTGCAAATGCAGTCACTGAGCCTTCTTACCCCCACACCAAACCTTTGAAAGCATTTGGGGTGAACCTCACCCCACTGTCTAGGCCAGGAAGAAATAAGAGTTACGATCTCTGTATCGTGCCCATGTTCTCTGTCCTTATGACAAGGCATTTTCACAAAAGAGTAAGCAACCCTTGGATCCAGATTCTGCCTCCCCAAGCCTGCTCTTTCCCTTCCCTTCGGTTTTCAAGGCCTTTCCTCCCAGTGCTACCAAACTCCCAACCGCTGGAGCCCCAGCAGGACACGAATTGTGGCCACCACTGAGTTGGTGGCAGATGTGATATTCAGCTGGTTCTGGAGAACCGTTCGCGGAAATTTTGAGTGCTTCAGAGAACCAGCAAATCCCGCCTCTGACTGGCCACGCCCCCATATCTATTCTCCGCCTCCTGAGTCCCAGCTGATTGGCTGGTTCTTCTTTGGTTGCCCTGCATAGGAGAACGGAGCTGGAAAGCAGGTTAGTGGAGTGAGGAGGGAAGGGGGATTGTGCAGTAACCTTCCCCTGCCAGTGCCACGCCCACCAAGCCACACCCACAGAGCCGGTTAAAAATACTTGAATCCCACCACTGGGCTCCACCCCCTTCTATTCTCCACTTCCCGAGTCCTACCTAGCTGATCGGCTGGGTCTTCTTTGGTTGTCCTGTCCAGGAGAACGGAGCTGGAAAGCAGGTTAGTGGGGCGGGGAGGGAAGGGGGATTTTGCAGTATATCCTTCCCCTGCCACGCCCACCAAACCATGCCACACCAATCACGCCACACCGACAGAACCAGCAGTAAAAAAAATTGAATCCCACCACTGGTTGGTGGGAAGGGCAAATCAAACGGAAGCCCACAAACTGTAGAAAAGTCAGCTTTATTCGATCGTGCCGAATGTGACGGCACGATATCGCTACCGCGGCAATTCTCCCATTAATGAAAGTGATTCGGAGAGAACCGCACACGTCAGGAGGGCTCGCTGGGAAGGGGGAGCCGGGGGGGAGAAGACCCAGGCCCGCCCACCCTCCTACCCGTCCTACAGCCTTAACTTTCCCAAAAACGAGCATCGGCGTGAGTGAGCTCCAGCAATTCCCTTTCGAGGATCTCGGCGTCTTCGGAGAAGCGTTCGGAGAAGGAGCGGATCAGACCCGCGGCGCTGGCTTCGTACTGAGTCAGTCGGACTTTGCCACCTGGGCGAGGAAGGGGGAAGAGCAAGAGGCCGAGTCAGCGGGCAAAAATTGCAAAATTTATTCTGTTCCCCAGTTCTCTGATTAGATTTCAATTCCGCCAATCGTCCTTTCTCCTTGGTTGCGGGACACCAAAATTTTATCTGGGGACAATGTTTAATGTGGATGGCAATAGCACTTAGACTTATATACCGCTTTACAGTGTTTCTACAGCCCTCTCTAAGCGGTTTATAGAGTCAGCCTATGGCTCCCAACAATTTGGGGTCCTCATTTTACCTATCTCGGAAGGACGGAAGGCTGAGTCAACCTTGAGCTGGTCAGGATCAAACTGTTAGCAGTGTGCAGAGTTAGCCTGCAGTACTAATCACTGTGAAGGAAGGAAGGAAAGGAAGGAGGGAGGAAGGAAAGAAGGGAGGGAGGGAGGGAGGAGGGGAGGGGAGGGGAAGGACTTAGATTTATATACCACTTCACAGTATTTTACAGCCCTTTCTAAGCAGTTTAGGATTGTTGCCCCCAACAATCTGGGTCCTCGTTTTACCGACCTCGGAAGGACGGGAGGCTGAGTCAACCTGGAGCCTGGTGAGATTTGAACTGCCAAATTGCAGGCAGCCGGCAGGCAGCAGCAGGAGCCTGCAGTACTGCACTCTAACCACTGCACCACTGGGAAGGTCGCAACTGGCAATCAAGTGACACACACACACACACACACACACACCCTCCCTAGGATGCTGTGACCGTTGTAAATGCGAGCCAGGTGACTGAACTGCGATCAGGTGTCCCTTCCTGAACGGAGATCAGCGCTAAACCCCTTTAAAACAAAGGGAAATCTCTGGGAAGAGCATTGAGGTTTTTACACAGCAAGTGACTTCAGTGATGTTGGACACCACGAGGGATAGTAAGCCAGGTTCAAATCCTGCCCTTCCTACCTTCCAGCCGGGTGTTGGCTTGGACGAAGAGCTTCCGTGCTTCCTTGCGTAAAAGTACCGTTTCACGTAGGGTTAGAAAGCGTTCTGGTTTGTTGTCTGTCACGGCTGAATAGGTTTCATAAAGCTTGCGGCCCCCTTCAACGTCGGCGGTCGATTTCAGGATCTGTAAAGAAAGGAAAAATAATCATACCTTTTAGTTTGTTAGTTAGTTGCGAAGATGTGTCCGACCCATTGCAACGCCATGGACAACGTTCCTCCAGGCCTTCCTGTCCTCTACCCTCTTCTGGAGTCCATTGAAGCTCACACCGACTGCTTCAGGGATTCCCTCCAGCCACCTCCTTCTCTGTCGTCCCTTCTTCTTCTTCTTTTGCCCTCCATCGTTCCCAGCATTCGGCTCTTCTCCAGCGAGTCCTTCCTTCTCATGTGTTGGCCAAAGTCTTTGAGTTTCCTCTCCAGGATCCGGCCTTCTAAAGAGCAGCCAGGGTGGATCTCCTCTAGGACTGACCGGTTGGATGGCCTTGCAGTCCAAGGGACTCGCTGGAGCCTCCTCCAGCCCCTGAGTTCAAAGGCCTCCATTCTTTGGCACTCAGCCTTCCTTACGGTCCAACTTTCCCAGCCATACATTGCCACTGGGGGAACCACAGCCTTGACTCTACGCCCCTTTGTTGGCAGGGGGATTTGTCTCTGCTTTTGAGTAGGCCGTCTGGATTTGCCACAGCTTTCCTCCCCAGGAGCAAGCGCCTTTTAATTCCTTGCCTGCAGTCCCCACCTGCAGTGGAGCCCGGGAAGATAAAATCTGTCACTACCTCCATTTCTTCCCCTTCTATTGGCCAGGAATGGAGAGGGACGGATGCCACGATCTATGATTTATGATACACGGAGGGGGAAAACAGGGTCACAGGTGACTGTAAATTACATATGCCAGAGTTGGTTTCATTTAGGTTAATGCCAGCATGTCGCTCTTAATAAATCTTTGGAATTATTTTGAAGCTTGGCTTGAGGCTCATGAATTGCCAGAATCCTGACATTGGCTCCCTTGTTATAAAATTAGAAAGCAGATTTTCCATTGCTAAGGGAGGGAAGGCGCCCCCCCCCCCCGCCCCCATCACTTACTTGCAACTTCCGGAGAAAACCTTCCAGAGCTGGTTTTCCCACGGTGGTGATCTTGGTGCGATCCAGCAAGACAACTGCGTCGGGTTTGCCGTCGGTCCCCGTGGTATGGTTTAAGGACACCAGTCCCTCGCCAGCCTCCAGCAGCACTCTTAAAATCACAAAGCGGGCTTGCATGTGAGCCTGGAGGAGAGTCCAGGGGAGGTCAGGAAGGAAGACAGAGTCGTAATGGGTGTAAGGTGCTTTGCACGCTCTGCCCTATCTTACAAGACTGGAAAAGTAGAATCAGCGTGCTATTTCCAAGAGAGCAAAGCCAAATTCCAGATTTCCTTTAGGGGTTCAATGTTGGCAGTCAACTCCCAGAATCCCCCAGCCAGCGGGCTTTAAGATGGGTGGACTTCAACTCCCAGAATTCCCCAGCCAGCAGGCTTTAAGATGGGTGGACTTCAACTCCCAGAATTCCCCAGCCAGCAGGCTTTAAGATGGGTGGACTTTGATTCCCAAGATGGCCCAGCCAATACGGACGGGGGAAGGAGGAATAATCATGACTCAGTAAATGATAAAGCCAATGTTGAACAAAATCACAATAGAAATAGATAAATAACATGAGCAATAAAGAAAAAAATAACAATAGAAACCAAAATGCAACTTTTGTACTATTCGCAATTCAAAAAGTGTCCTAAGAGCATTGTGCTTATTGGGGGCCGTTATGT